GCGCCACGGAGCGCCTGTCCGAGGTCACGGAATTCTGTTAAGCCAGTCGTATAAATCCTACATCTGTATAGCGATTTATCGTGCCAACTGCCTTTAAGCGCTCGCTCGCGGTCGGTGGAAGATATAAAAACACGCCTAACGCGCCGGGTGGAGGGAATCTCACGTCATTATCTCCCTTTTGCGATGCGCCATGCATTCCTGTCCAATTTAGAGTCGTCACGGCATTTGAATGCAAAGTATGTGATTGCTTGCGGACAAGTCTGTTGTCAGTTGGCGGGATGTTTGCTGGCCTGGACGGGATTCAGTCCCAGATTCATAGGTGGAGCATGCGCTTAATGAGCGGTCCCCCTCACTTCCATACCGACTCTGCCTAGGTAACATGAGCCTTCCTCACAACCTACTTGAAACACCCAAAAATGCCGATACCGGTCATGTAGACAGTGGCCAGTCATGGGGAATCCTGAAAGTGCTTTAATGGGCTGCACATTGCTTCTCAAAGACAACTCTCGTTTTGCTAGGTAATTTTTTGTTCTTGAACTTGTAGGGCAGTAATTGAATGACTTTGAGAGGAGATCATGAATAGGAGTTCATTTTCTGAACTGTTCTAGTGACTTGCGGCATCCTCTTGCCATTCGTGGTGATGAAGTGCAGACCGAGAATTTTTAAAAAGGGCCAACCATTGCGGCAGCTGAGCTGTGGGAGCCAAAGTGTACTCTTGATAAAAGACTTGAAGATCGAATTCGATGTTGCTCCCTCCCCTTACTAATGAACAGAGAGGGAGGACTGAGCTTTTGCTCAGCTTCTAAGGGCAGGTGCTAAACGGAAGCCGAGCTATCCCTTCACTTTCGATCCCTCAAAATTCCTCTCTATTTTGATTTTCCAACATAGCCAATGTAATCCCATTTTTGATGAATTTTTCGTTTGCAGGTTGATAACCACAAAAGAACGACGGAAACATCCACGACGACTTTATGACGACTCTTCGCTTCCATTCTACGATTTCAACCGTTATGGCTCTTATGCTCAAATGACAGCTTGGATGCGTGCATTAGCCAGAAACGATCCACAGCTTGTACAGTTCATCTCCATCGGAACATCACACGAAGGACGATCAATCGACGGTGTTGAGGTATTGATTCATTGATCTTTGCGCGATCGATCTTCGCTCGTTTTTGTGGCATTCTGATTTGACTTTCTGATGTTTTACGATTACACAAAAACGATTTCGTCGTTCCACCTCCTTAGTGCGCACCAAGCAATCACCTCCTAATTCAAACCTGAACTGATAAGCGCATGCGCTATCCAAAGTGTTACTTCCTAAGGACGACCTTCGAGAGCAATTGTTTCAGGAACTTGTTCAGTCGAGTGATTTTTGATCCCATCCTTTGGTTTGCTAGACATGTAAGCGTTTGGAGACTCCATAGGTAATCAAACTGGGTAAGAAAAGATTGCAGTATGTTCTGGCACACCTAAGTCGCTAACTTTATCCCTCAAGCGAGTTTAAGAGGCTAAAGTTGCCAGATTCGTTGGAAATTTGTATTCATTGCGTATGGCGTTAACGGTTCCGCGCCAACCCAAGATGATATTCAGAGACAGGGTATAGCATCGTGATGTGTGAAATGGTAATGTAGGTACGTCCCCCCTCGTGGGAGCGTGTCAGTACGACCCCCACTTAAGGGGCCTTCAGTTACGCCCCCCCCCTCCATCCCACACCTATCTACAATTTTCATATTTCTGGTTTTCACCCAAAAACCCAAAAATTTTCCATCGATAAATTTTCCTATTTCACCAGAATTTTGCTGTCGAACTGGGAGGGGGGACTCGATTCAGGACCTATACTTGTCGTTAGCAGACGCCATTTGTCACTACTGTATTCTGCCTCCTTCTCTATAGCCGCATCTGTATTACTATCCGATATATTGGTAACGCTTTCATGTCGTTCAAGTCTTAAATTGGGCGACACTTCGCTCTTCGCAGGCCCGCTACAAAATTACAGACCACGTTTCATCAGAGATTTTCCTTCGAGGGCAGAACTGGTTAGTTTTTCGACGCTGGGGATAATCTGATCCCGTGAACGTGAGCGTTGGCTTCGCTGTCGAGCGGAATGCGACCTACCGCCGCTGGCGCCCTAGCCAGTTTCGGGGCCTATACAGCAAATTGTGATTTCCTGAGTGTTGCGACTGAACCCTTCGGAAAGGATTTTCAGCCAAGCTGATTGGGCAGGTTTTCGCACTGATTGCTTGTTATGCGGACGCTTGGAGGTTTTAACAGTCACCGCGATGGTGTGTCATTGAATTTTGTTCCTATGTGGGCTGGGTGGTTTTGTTGGACTGCTCTCCTTTCATGCTCCACTATGGCTCAAAACACATGTTCGGTTACGGACGATACTTTCAATTTAAATCGATGTTAACACGGAGAAGATGCTAATGACATTACTGATGAAAAATGATAAGAATGATCAGAGGATGCGCGCATACGCCAGTCCGCCAGTCTCCAAGACGCCAAGTCAGTGTGATGTTTTGTTTCAGCGGGCAAAAAACAACTTTGATGCAACAGTCCTGCCAAACCGAATTCCTGGATAATTTCCTCGGTTAGTCTGTCTGCGTGTTCGGAAACTGGGCAGTAAAGTGTAGATAGCGGTAATTTGTTCTTTGTTCACTTAGTTTTAGGTCGTTGAAATATAATGGTTTAGTTGATAGTTGGTTTTATGCTGTCAATCTATTCCGATGAAATGGTTAGATAAAAGTTAAAAAAGAAAAACGCCAGTAGGTCAAATTATGCAGAAAGGCAAAAGTGCAGCTGCAGGACAGTTATTCTCGAAGTGTTGTCGCGTGAGTCCCACGATCTTGCCAATATATACGGCCTTATACTCCACAGAAGACCATGACGTGGTCGTCTAATGGGGTCCAGCAGCTTAAAAGGATCTGGTCCGCTTTTGATAGCCAATTCAGTCAGTGTAATTCAGTTGTTCCATCCGATTGTCTCGGTAAAATAGTAAAAGTAGTAAAGTTCCAAGTAAAGTCTCCAGAGATAAGTACAGAGAGTGCATACGGTGATTTGTACAATTTCCATTTGAGGGCAGCTTTGAAATGGAAAATAGGTTCTTTTGCTGAATCCATCATCCTTCGCACAAAAGGGAAAAAAGCAAACGTGCTGAAATCAAAGCGAAAAATTCTTGAAATTATTTATTACAATTTTGCTGATATTTCTGATGGTTTTTTTGTTCTCAATAGAATGTTACAAAGACCCATGGATTTCGGACCTTTCACGTCATTGACGTGATCAGAACTCCCGAAAAGTTCTGGCAAAGTGTTTTTCCAGTTTCTGAACTGCATCAACCAGTTCAAAAAGTTAGAGGGGGGGGGGGCGGGGGGGCACCCAGTTGTGAAGTTTCGAAAACGAAAAAGGATAATCCTGCACTAACGAGACTCACAGCTACATATAGGGGATGCGCATCTGTTTCGGACCCATAAGTTAATAAAAACACCGTTTCACTGCAGCTGTAGTATTTGAGGTTGCATTCAGCCTATAGCAGAAGAATAGCCAGTGCCCATCATAAAGAGCCTCAAGAGACTAAGAGCCTCAAAGCCTTCTGTACCAGTTTCTATGACCTCATCAATCCCGGAAGATATATTTGGCCTTGAGTTCATCTTGTTTTCCACCATGAGGAATCTGTCGTATGGGTAGACCAGCCGTTTTTTCACAATAGGCGGTCATCGATTCGGGATATACTGTCGGATGGACTCGTGCTCTTTACCTTTTCCAGGCTGGTTCTACGAACCAGTCGATTCTCTTAAAATTGGTTCCCGATCGCTAATTCCTGCTGGCTCCCTTGAACTCTCGAACAGCAGCATGAAGATGTTCATTTTCTATCCTGCCTGTTCAGCTGCCAGCAATGCACTAATATTGTAAACCTAAGCCGTACTTATTGGCGAGCTCAAAGAAGCAGATTTTCGAGAGTTGAGAGCTTATAAGGCTCTAGCAGAGCGTCTATGACGCTTCTGCGTAAACCTTTACGGCTGCAGGATTCCAATGGGGAAAAGGAAATTCCACACTCAATGTCAACACGTTCCGGACCGCGTGACCCACATTAGGTTGTTGCCGATGAATTCGCATCTTCTGTTTCCTTATTCTCAAATTAATTTGGCTTGTTCCTTTTCATGGTTCTTATGTGCCCAGAGCACGTTCTCGGCCCTTACGTAAGATAATTACCTTACAAGCGATTGGAAGGAGGTAGCGGATTTCGAGAATTATGTTGACGAAAAGTGATTCGGAGAAGTGAGCAGTCGGCGGTCCCATTGTGTTAAACCTCTACCTGACCATCTTTTCCGAATACCACCTTTATCTGGTGTCAAACTTGAAGCACTGAAGCACTAGAGTCAGAGGCAGAGCCCACGATCACGTTATGTTATCTGAGCTGTTTATAGGGGAGTTAGTGCGAACTGCAGTGAATAATTCTGTATAAGTTTCACGTTAGAAAGTGGTAAGGTAGCGGATCTGAAGCACAAGATTGCTCAAGTGACTTCGCCCTTGCTGACAGATGTCTTATCTGCTGTCTTGCTCGTTTGCATGCTCTTTCGCTGCTTTCTCTGGCCTCTCGCCCGATATCCACATCGATTCTTTATCTCTCGCTTGGCACAAGTAGGGCCTTATTTGGAGCGCATTTAACGGTTTCTCCCCTTTTTTCACGAGCGAGCCCAACAGCATGTACTCTTTTGGTCTCCAACCGCGCTCCCTACTAACTGTTCGCTGGTTCACCGCGAAGTGGGACTTTAACTCTGAATGTAACTTTAACTCTGAAATGTTTGGCTCATACTTAGGACGCGCCACGTTTTTGTGACCCAACAGGCGAATTGAATAGAGCGAAAATTATATAGTGATAGCACTCCAACAGTATTTATTTCAAGGCGTTGTTGTTTCGCAGGTGCGAAGAAAGCGCTGTTCTTCAGCTTAAGCGGGGGGGGGGGAATATGCAATTGCCTTCGCATATTCGTTTGTAGGTCCGTCTAAATATCAAGACAAAGAATAAAGTTAATTTTGTCGGTTTTCAGATTGGCGGTCATGACCGATCAAAGCGGATTTTCTGGATTGATGGTGGAATCCATGCACGTGAATGGGCCGCACCGCATACCGCGTTATACTTCATCCATCAGGTAATATTCCAAAGACAGCACCACCACCCTTGTGCCAACTATCCCACAAACTGGGTGTAATCGAAGTGAAACTACCACCTATTGCTTGTGTAGTGCTCGGTTTCGGTTCTTCAGTCACACCCACTTTTAGAATTTTATCCGCGAAAAAGACAAAAGTAGAAGATTCTTCGTAATCTGATGACTGATTGACGGAACGCTCCTGGTTGTCAGCGATGAGTCTCTGAAATAAGCGTAAAGCCCATGGCATTATTTGGCCCCCCGAAAAGCAATTCACCATTCGTGAGGGACCCATGGAAAACCTAAGATGGCTTGAGTAGTATCATTCGTTCCAAGTTGTCACCCATTCACTGAGCAGAAGCTCACAGGAACATAATCGAACCAGACACCTGCAGTTCAGGGTTAGGCTATCCCATCCTCTCAGATGTGAAGAAGACAGGTTCCAAATGGTAGCCTGGGAAGATTCATGCGTATGCCTGGCTGTTTTTCTTGGCTATCTGTTCTTTTGCCAGAAGGAGGGCTGTGGTTGCCACTCTGAAAATTATGGCGACACCTCTGAATCGCGGTACCACGCATTAAGACAAGCATATTTGGGTTAACATGCCTTATTGGTGTCCAGCCCGTGTCCGAAGGGGAAGGGACATCCCGGCTGCGACTGTATACGGCTTGCTCGCTACACATGCTTGGGAGCTCAGGGAACTGAGTTTAACGCAGTTTATCGCCTCCATTTGTCGACTGCATTTGCTGACCACACTTTGAACCATATAAAAGCCATCGAAGCACATTCCATCTGGCTCAGTGGGCGGAGCCAGACCTGTCGTTGTACCTTCCTCATCAGTACGTTGTCACAGAAAATAGAGACGCACCAGTGACGAAGGACAGTGGTATGGCTGGGTCCCGCCTATACGACCAGCCTGGGATGTGCCTCGAATGCCTTTTCTCTGCAGAGAAGCTTACGCGCCAACAGTTACCTGACAGACACAATTAGTCCAGTCTAACACGCACTCTAAGGTTAGTACAGTACTGACTGAAAGCTTAGCCAGCGACTCATCTCGAGAATGGTCAACTGCAGTTACATGTTTATTACCGTCCAATTTCAGCTTACTTCACGTCATGACAGCGATCCTGCCATTAAAAGCCTGCTCGAAGAAATCACATTCGTCATAGTGCCATGTGTGAATCCGGATGGATACGAGTTCACGCGCTCCTCAACGAACCCTCACGTTGGTCATACACCTCTCTTGCGGCATTTTTCGGATTATGTTTTAGTCATCTGTGATCATCTTTTTCTTATTTTTTCCATATTTCCTTTTGAAGATTCGTCTGTGGCGAAAAAATCGCTCCCAAATGCAATGTCGTAAAGACGGCTGGGGACGGAATCGGTGCTGCCGTGGCGTAGATCTAAATCGGAATTTCGATTTTCCATTTCAAAGGTCAGTCAATCAGAAGGTTCATTGTAGCCGGGTAGGGAGGATAGGAATCTCCGTTGGTCCACAGGTGAAGGTGGGCAGAGCGTCGTGAAGAATTGTGAAGAAGCTTTGATAATA